TCGTCACGAAGCCGACCGACTACGCGACACTACCGACACGGGAAGGACAAACCGGACCCTGGGCGCCGTCGTATTTCGTGGAGGTGCCCCAGTATCGCACGTGGGACGCGTGGTGCGCAGGTCTGCGCGCTCGATTTGAGCCAATCGCGGCCTCGATCTCGGCGCGACAGAAGCTCCGCACTTGGCGCCAACTCGGTTCCGTCCAGGATTACACGAGCGGATTTCTGGCGCTATGCGAGCAGGTGGGCTACATGCATGAGAGCGAACGCATCGACCGCTACATCGGCGGCCTGAAGCAGGACATCGCTCAGGAAATCCAGCTTCGCGGCGTCACTGAGTTTCAGGAAATTCTCGCTATGGCGGAGAAGCTCGACTTCTTTCGCCGACCGAGACCGGGGTCCTACGGAAACAACACCTGGGGACATCGGCCTCGTGGGACGAACGAGAGCGCCACGATACGCGCCGTCGCCGCAAATGCCGCTGCCGCACCGTTCAAAGGGCGCTGCTTTGCGTGCAATCGGCCGGGACATCGCAAGAGCGAATGCCCGGAAAACGCTAAGGGAAAGGGGGAAGCTGAGCCGCAGACACAGACCAAGCAGCAGGGAAACGCTGGAAGTCAGTAGCAGACGGGCCCTCTACTGACAGGTCACGCCGCTCGCCCGACCCAACCGACCCTCACCGAGTGATTGTGCCGGTTCACGCAATCGACCACACCCGGCCGAATAAGGAGGGTACCACGGTAGATAGCCCTATACTGCTCAGTGGGAAAATTGGGACGGACTTTGTTAAAATCTTCGTAGATGGGGGAGCCAGCCACAGCCTCATTAACACTGCTACAGCACGAAAATTGCGACTGCCACTGGACCGATGCTTACCTGAGATCGACGCACGACTGGTAGACGGCACGCCGCTGGCAATACGGGAACGCGTAGACCGAGTTCGGATTCGATGCGGGGGTAACTTCACGTTTAGTCAGGAAATGCTCGCAACGACCCTCGACGGAACCGACATTTTACTCGGGCGTGATTGGCTGCGACGACACAACCCGCGAATTGACTGGACGACGGGTGACTGCACCGTGCGAGTGAACGGTAACAGCATCGCCTTACCTCGCTGGGGCTCGCCTGAGTCTTCGTCGGTGCGTGTCAACGCGATCACGATGAAACGCGCTGTTGCGGCCGGAGCCGACGTGTACGCGGTTGACATTCGGGAAGCCGAGGCAGCAGACAAGGGAGGCGATTTACAGAAACTGCTGACCGACGTACCGAGTGACCTGGCGGCACTGTTACAACAGTACAGTGACATTTTCCCGGATGACCTGCCGACGGGACTGCCACCTCAGCGACCGCACGATCACAGGATAGAACTGGAACCGGGGGCACAGCCAACAGTACAGCGACAGTTCCGACTGACCCAACCCGAATTAGACGAACTAAGGAAGCAGCTCGATTACCTGCTAGAAAAGGAATTCATTCGCCCTAGTTCGTCGCCTTTCGCCGCACCAATACTGTTCACACCGAAAAAGGACGGGGGTTTTCGCATGTGCATCGACTACAGGGCACTGAACAGGGTTACCATCAAATCCCGTTACCCCATCCCACGAGCCGACGAACTGATCGACCAACTGCGCACAGCCCGGGTTTTCTCGAAAATCGACCTCCGGGGAGGATACCACCAAATCCGCGTCAACCCACCCGACTGCCCTAAAACCGCATTCCGAACACGCTACGGATCCTTCGAATACACCGTCATGCCATTCGGACTGACCAACGCCCCCGCCACTTTCCAAATGACCATGAACGAAGCATTCCGCCCGCTTTTAGATAAGTGCGTCATCGTTTATCTGGACGACATACTGATTTACAGCCCTGACAGAGCACAGCACTTACAAGACATCGAAGCAGTTTTTAAAATCCTGAGTGAGAACCGCCTACTGACCAAAGCATCTAAGTGTGAGTTTTTACAGGACCGCCTGGAGTTTTTGGGACATGTTATTTCAGCTGCAGGAGTGGAAATAGACCCGAAGAAAATTGCGACGATTCGGGCTTGGCACGCGCCGACCAACTTGACCGAGTTGCAGAGTTTCCTGGGGTTCGTCAACTACGTGCGCCGGTTCGTCCCCGACATGGCGAAACTGACTGCCTCGTTGACTGACCTGCTGAGGAAGGGGGTTGAGTACACGTGGGGGGAGAAAGAGCAAGCTGCCTTCTCGGCCCTCAAAAATATTTTGTGCTCCCCGCCCGTCCTTCACATTGCAGATCCCCACCGTCCGTTCGAGCTCGTCACCGACGCAAGTGACATCGCTGTGGGAGCAGTACTGTTGCAGGATTTCGGGAATGGCCTCCAGCCAATCGCGTACGAGTCCCGCAAGTTACACCCGCCCGAACGTAACTACCCGATACACGACCGCGAGATGCTAGCGATCGTGCACGCGTTCAAAGTTTGGCGATGTTACCTGACTGGTGCCGACGTGACAGTACGGACAGACCACCGCTCGCTACAGTACCTTCGCGCCCAACCGAATCTCAACCCACGACAGATTCGCTGGTTGGACTATCTCGAGTCCAATTTTCACTACACCGTCACGTACAAAAAAGGAGCATCCAACATCGCCGACGCTCTCACCCGCCCCACCGCCCAACTCCACGCCATCCTACTCGCCCAGACCAACCCGCTTTTAACTGGCCTATTCACCCACGGATACCGCACCGACCCATTTTTCACGACCGGAAATTCACAGCAACTGGCAGAAGCAAAAGGAGTTTATTACGTAAAAACAGGCACCAACCGCATTTGGGTACCCGCGTACTCACTACTGAGGGAGCTGCTGCTGCAGGAGGCACACGACGGGATTACCTCGGGACATTTCGGGGTAGAAAAAACACGACAGCAACTGCAGCGGTACTATTACTGGCCGGAGCTGTTGACCGACGTACAGCAGCACGTAGGCTCGTGCCCGACGTGTCAGGTGATGAAGAGTTCAAGGAAGCGGAAGGCGGGTCAATTGCAGCCGATCCCACCGCCCGAACGCGCCTGGCAGCAAGTAACCATGGACTTCGTCACAGGGTTACCTTCGAACCCTGGGGGTAACGACGCGGTGATGGTCGTCGTGGATAGGTTGACGAAGATGGCACACTTCGCTGCGTGCAAAAAGTCGATCTCAGCCGAAGAGACCGCTCGCCTGTTCATCGCAGCCGTTGTTCGCCTGCACGGGATACCAGCAGCAATTATCAGCGACAGGGACACGAAGTTTACCAGCAACTTCTGGAAGAACCTCTGGGAGCAGTTCGGGACCAGGCTACAGTTCAGTTCGTCGTACCACCCCGAGACCGACGGCCAAACGGAGCGGACGAATCAGACGATGGAGCAGTTGATTCGTGCCACGTGCGACGACCCCACGACCTGGGAGCAGCAGCTGCCGCTGATCGAGTTCGCGTACAACAACGCCACATCAACCACGACGCAGCAGTCCCCGTTCTACCTGAACTATGGGCAGAACCCCACAGTGCCCATGACGCCGAGTCCGGACAACCCCACGCCACGCGCACAACAATTCGCCGAAATCCTGCAAGCTGCCCGCGCCAGAGCCGCCGAAGCAATAAAAAAGGCCAACGTCATCGCTAAGCGTAACGCTGATCGCCACCGCCGCCCCGTCACGTATCAATCTGGAGATTACGTGCTACTCGACACGCAAAATCTGCGACTGCCCGACGTACCAAAATTACGACCGCGCTACTGTGGACCATTCCAAATCAGTCACATGATCACACCCGTCACCGCGCACCTACTGTTGCCAATTGACTGGTACATCAGCCCTTCGTTCCACGTCAGCCTACTTCGCCCATACATCCCGACCACGAGTCAACTGCCGCGTCACCGGCCACAATCAATGACTCGCCCTGCATCAGAGCCGATCATCGAGCCCGAGAAATTTTTGAGCCATCAGATCCGCCACCCCACGGGAATCAGGAGGATTGAATTCCTCGTTCGCTGGAAAGACCGCACGCCAACTGAAGATAGCTGGGTGCCCCTGAGCAACATCGAAAATCACCCTGCCCTGCAAGTGTACTTGAGAAGCCGGGGATTCCGGGATATACACGCACTCGCGTAGCGGAGGGGGCTTCTTAAGGGGGGGGGGTAGTGTAAGGAATTTTCTCAGGCATTCCTTACGGAGCCGACTACATCGCGTACAGCAACAGCCGACTGTTCGCCCGTTACTGCTAACGGAACTTCGCCGACTTCGCGCGCACTGTTTTGCCAAACCTCGCACTGCTGGCATGGCCGTATCGGCCTACGCTTCGGGACTAGCCCGAGCCTCGCTCCAGCGTAGCACTAGCAAGTTCGCACGCACCGCGTTACCGTTTTGCATGTTTCGCGTATAAATGCTCGCTCATGCCTTCGCTCACATTTTGTACTCGTTTGACACCTTAGTGCAATTCTCGCTACCTCGATTCATTGCACCCGTAACAACGTTAAACCCTTGAGGAGTTCCCAAGGCTGCTGTTCCGACTTCCAAGCTGGAATGTGGAGTATACTCTACACTATATTCCCTACCGTATGTTCCAAATCCTAATTCCGATTTCATCTCGGCCGTACAGCACGCAGTGTCAGTCCACCTAAAAAAATCCATCTACGCAGGATGCCGCATGTCTGACAAAGCAGTATCGCCATATGCTACTACTGTGTTTCCTCGTCGTTGATGGCATGGTGTCCCCTTCATGGCAATCTCGAACATCCGTTGTTGATGGGATTTGAATGCACAGTCCGTTCGTAGATTGGATACTGGCTCCTTGGCGATAGGCCGTCGCGGTAGACACAGCAACCGTAAGGGTGCCTGAGGTAACGTATGCGAGCTCCTAGGCCTGAATGTTCTCAGCCGCTAGATGCTCGAAGTCTCTTAACTAAACATACTTATTGCCTGTCATTCTGAAGGCGAAGCAGCAACAGCGCCGTTCCCTGTTCAACATCAAGCTCGCCCCTTGCACTGAGAGGCGGTCGCCATGGATTTCGTGGCCCGAGCGACGAAATCAGGTTCTCGCGACACCCTGCTGTCCCTTTCCCGTCCGGTCCCGTCGTTTTCTGCCATGAAATCATCCACTCTTTTCCTTTCTTTTCCCGGGATTCTCAGGAGCTACTATATCTTTCCTTAGAGTCCTCAGGAGTTACAATTCCTTCCTTCGGAATTATTTTTTGCTTTCCTTAGAGTTATTCGTTGCTTTCCATAGTGTCATTCTGAAGCCATTGTTTCCCTCCCCATCCCCGCAACCTTGTCTCCACGTGGTGCCCTTACCGCGCGCAGTGTTGCGAGCAGCAGCTTCGCGCATGGGAGAAGACCACTCTGCCGCACAGTCGTCCTCCTCCACTCCGCGCGGGTCCACAGCAGCACCCGCCAGAGCCTCTTCGCCGTACTCCCACTCGCCGGGTCTCGTCGCGCCTGCCTTCTCCCGTACGTTTACTTTGCTATGCGCTGGAGGTGGGATGGGTTGATTTGTCATGGAAAGTAGATTTGTTTTGGGAACTCTCGAAACTTTGCAATGGGCTGGAGGTGGGATGGGTAGCTTTGTCATGGCGCACAAGCGAGTGTCGTTTACCTTTTTCTTCATGTTTTCATGTCCTTACTGGAACGTGCTATGCCTTTTCTCTGTTTGTTATGAGAGGGTTTGCCAGTTCCTGGGTCTCATCTTCTGTGTCCTACCCACCTTGCATGCCTGCATGCGTGCGCTCATGTGTGCATAAATCCGTCCACGCTTTGCATGTGCACATACACACATACATGATTCACACATCCATGCATGCATGTGGTGTTGTGCTGGCGGCGGCAGAGGAGCACTTGCCATGGATCATGAAGTCAGCGCATGAGAAGCCATACGAGGAAGAGCTGAAGAAGCGCATACTCGCCCTCTCACAGGTGTGTACCGCTGTCTGTTGCCTGCATGCGTATTGTCTCTCTACCTCCGCATGCTCCTCCCCTCGGCTGCTCTCCCCTTCGCCCTATTCACCCTTCTCCGAACACACTTAAGAAATTCCGGCAGTTCGCGTTCTGGATACAATTGATGATTCCAATGGGCTCTGTACTGTACTCTACTCTACTCATGTAACCCTCCCCGTGCAGAGGCCAGAGGAGTTCCTATACGGCGAGTTGGACCCATCGCTGCTCATTGACATGCGCCAAGCCACCCTCATGGCTGCGTCTGTGCTGCAGGTCCGTCCGTCCCTCTCTCCACTACTACAGTCCTCCGACATGGATATCCCCCTCCCCCTCATTTACCTGGCTGTTCTATCTTCTCCCTTCCACCGATCCCATGCTCGATTCCTCTCTTCGTGCCTTCTCCCCGTTCCGCTCCCTCTGTCCCCGGTCTCTGCCTCTCCCTGTGCGTCCTTCTGTGCGTCTACCCTTGCATCTCCCTGTGCTCCTCCCCTAGCATCGCCCCGTGCTTCTGTTAGAACGACGTTTCATCCACGTGGCCACCCCTTCTCTTGTTGCTTCTAATTTCTCATGCCTCTCCCTCTTCTCATTCCCCATGCCACCTCTCAATGCATGCCATCCATTCCCATTGTCGTGCTGCTGTCGTGATAACTACCCCCTCCGCCACCCCCTTTACCTTCCCCCAACCCCTCCCCTCCCCCCCCCCGTCATCCTCATTTTCAAGCTTCCCAAACCCCCCCCCCCCCAGCACCTCCTTCCCCTCCCGTCCCCCCTCCCCGCGCCCTTCGCCCCTCCTTCCCATCCACTGTATGGCAGGTGGATGAGGAGCTGAGGCAGCTGCGGCTGCGGTTTGTGCCTCGGGTGATGAAGGAGCAGGAGTTTTGGCGGCGCTACTTCGTTGCTGTCAAGGCCGTCAAGCACCAAGTCCTCACGCAACCTCTGCTGCACCCGCAGCCGGAGCAGCCGCAGCAGGCGCCGCCGGAGAGTCAGCAGCAGCAGCATCAGCAGCAGAGGGGGATTAATGGGAGTGCCCCATCGACCAAGTCACTCATTTCATCGTTCTCTACCATGACCAACGCTGCTGCTGCTGGTGCTGTTGGTACTACTGGCATGACCCCAGACATGAGCCGAGAATCATCAACCCCAGAATTACGTGGTACCAGTGGCAGCAGAACTAGTAGTGGTAATGGTGGTGGTGGTGACGGTGCTGGTAGTAGCAGTGGCGGTGCTGGTGGTAGTGGTGGTAAGGAATATCTCACTTCTTCCACTACTTCGCTAAAGTCGGATGGCAGCTTGGTCACGCCCCATTCAGCAATGATCCCCAGGGACAATGCTGCTGCGGGAGGCGGAGGAGCAGGAGGGGGAGAAGGCGGTGGGGGGGAGTCTGGGCTGCCACGGACGGGGAGTGGGCGGCGTTCAATGCCGTTTAGTGGGACCCAGCCATGGACATCCCCTCCAGCCGGGCGGCCTTTGTCGCCGGCCAATCAAAGACCACCTGTGGGCAGGGGAAGGAGCGATAAGGAGCGGGCTATGCGTCGCTCGGTGGGTGGGGCAAGGGGATGTGGGGAGGGTGGGGTGGGAGGGCGTAGCTTGCTTCTGGGGGATACGGGTTGTGACTTTCAGTCGAATCAGAAGTCATCTGTGGGCAGGGGGGAAGGAGCGGCATAAAGCGGACATGCGATGCTCTGTGGGTGCGTGGAGGGGAGGGGAGGGAGGGCGTAGCTGCTAGGGGGTGGTAGTTGTGGCGTGGGGCTGGTTGGAGTATATATTCAGCGGACCTAGCAGCTGGTGTAGCAGTGTTGAGGTGAGTTTTGAGGCGCCTCAAAACACATACCCTGACACATTTTAAGGCGCCTCAAAACTAGCTGTGCATGGGGCTGGTGGGTGTATATATTCAACGGACCTACAAGCTGGTGTAACAGTGCTGAGGTAATAGCTAGGTTGGAGTGAAAAGAGCAGGGTATGCTGTTTGTGGTATAGCAGACTGTTGGAATGGGAAAGAAGAAAGTGCTGGGATAAGGTTAGAGGGAGAATGGGAAGGGTTTGTGGGGAATCAGTACAGGTAGAGCTGTGTATTGTGTGTGTTGGCATGTGCGCACGCGCGCACATGCATGTAAGTGCATGTGTGTAAGCACGCATTTGTTTATGTGCAGGCACATGCATGCGTGTATGTGTGTGTGTGTCTGTGTGCGTATGTTTGAGCATGTATCTGTTCTACCTGTTCGCGCACATATTGCCACACCTTCTCATCACACATGTGCTTGCATGCACCGCACATGCCCCCATGCGCCCCATGTCTTCCCCACAATTCCCCCATGCCGACTCTGCCCCCAACCGCTAGCACGGGAGGAGTCAATGGACGATGGGGACATGGAGGACGCTTTCCTGCCCATCTCCCTTTTCATTCGACCCAAAGAGCGAACCATACCTCCTCACAAACCCCCATCCGCGCCATAGGTCCTCACAAACCCCCATGCGCGCCATACCTCCTCACAAACCCCCATGCGCGCCATACCTTCCCACAAACCCCCATGCCCCTTGACAGCTAGCACGGGAGGAGTCAATGGACGATGGGGACATGGAGGATGCTTTCCTGCCCATCTCCGTGCCCTCCTCTGTCACCATTCGCCGCCTCGCCCAGGCTCTCAAGTACGCTCTGCTGCTCCCTCTCTGCTCCACTCCGCGCTTTGCAGCACTGCAGTCTACTACGCTGCACTCTCTACTATACTGCACTGCACTGCACCACACTGCATCGCTCCGTACTGCACTGTGCATAATCAATGTCGATTCCACTGAGAGAGCAGCAATCATGGATCGCGACCTGTACCCCATGCACCTCACTCACTCTTTGGTAAGAACAGCCCAGTAACCTCTTTGTCCTTGAACTCCCCATTGGCCACACTTCTCCCCTCCCCCTCCCTCCTCCTTCCTTCCCTTCTGGCAGCATGGTGCAGGCGTTTGCAACAGTAGAGGACATGGCATGTGAGGGCAGCAGTGACGACTCGCCAGAGGCACGCAACAATTTTGAGGCTCCTTCAACCCACCCCATCCGCCTCCCCCCCCCTCTCCTCCTCGCAGCATGGCGCGTGCGTTCGCAACAGTGGAGGACATGGCATGTGAGGGCAGCAGTGACGACTCGCCAGAGGCACGCAGCAGCAGCGGCGGGGCACGAGGGGCCCCAGGCAGAGGGTCCATGGTGGGAGGGGGCGCCGGCATGGGTGGCGGCGCCGGCAGTGGCATTAGCGGAGGGGGCAGAGGAGGAGGAGATGACGAATACGGTGCTAATGGTGGTGGTGTTTCTGGTGGTGGAGCAGGGGCGAGTGGCAGTGACCGATGGTCTTCTCTTGTATTACAGACTGTGGAAGCAGGCTTTGCTGCGGCGCTCAGTCTTGCTCCTAAAGGGTCCGGCACAGGAGCACACAGCGGGATGGCTGGGAGTGAAGGCTCAGGGGGAGGGCGAGCAGGAGGAGGAGGAGGAGGAGGTGGTGGGGGTGCAGGAGCTGCTGGTGGTGGTACTGGTGGGAGTCCCAGCCTTGCTCGCACGTTTAGCTTTACTGGAGGAGGAGGGGGTGGTGGTGGTGGGGGAGGTGGCAGGCGCAGGCACAGCCGCACTCGCACGCTGGCGTTTAACCCTGGGGAGTACAGTGCACTGCTCTGGTCGCTCTTTGACCTTGGTGCGTGCTGCTCTTGCCCTCTGTGCCCCTGTCCTCTGTGTTCGTCGGTCTTGGCTTGGTCCACCCCATTGGGAACAGACGTATTTGTGCCTGAAGGTGTTATGGCTGAATGGCATGATTTGCATGGCTCTTGTCTTGTCTGTCTGCTGTCCTCCCTGCCCTGTCTGTCGTTTGCCACCCTCACCCGATCCCACTCTGCCCTTCTGCCAATTCCGGTTTTCTCCCCATTCCATCCCCCCCATCATCATCCCATCCTCCCAATTCCATCCTCCCCATCCGTTCCCCTTCCAATCCCCACCCGATCCCCATCGCATCACCCCCCCCAATCCTCACGTAAAACCAGAGGACGAGGCATGGGAGAATTCAGAGAGTCTGGAGCCTCTGTCTCTCGGCCAAACCACCAGCGCCAGCATGAGTAGCAGCAGCAGCCTCACAGGCCACAAGCAGGCAGGCGCCACGGGGCGATCAGAGCCGTCCATTGTGCACGAAATCCACGGCGCGCCACCGAGTGGGTTTGTGGCTCAGCTGGCGGAGACGATGGCGGGGATCTCTTCAGACTCTAAGATGGCTGGATTCTGGATGCAGATCGTCATGGAGGTGGGTGTGATGGAGCTGGGTGCGGTGGAGGTGGGTGGTGGAATGGGCACTTAACGTCCTTAGACACCTCGCGAGATGGGTTGCTGGATAGGAAGGAGAGGGAGAAGGGGGTGGGAGTAGGGGCGCTATTTGTGGAGTGGACCACTTTAGGTGTAATGATTGGATTGTCCATGGATTGCCAATGTGCTCCTCTCTCGGACCCCCTTCCCACCACTCTCCTCACCAATCTCGCCATTCTCCTTCCTCCCCCGGTCCCTTGTCCCTGTCCCCTGTCCTCTCTCCACACGCCCGTCCCTCCCCCCTCTTCCCTTGACAGCTGCGGCGGCGGTGGGCAGCGAGGCGGTTCATCCCGCGGGTGCCGCAGGAAAGCGATCCGGACCTGCACACGTGCCTGCTGCACCAGCACCTGCACCTCCTCAACTGCTGCACCGCCCGCCGCCTGCGCCGCTCGCACCAACTCTCCCATGGAAGCCCCTCCAGCGCTGCTCCTGCTGGGAGTGTTTATGGGAGTGTCGCTGGGAGCGGATATGTGGGAGGGAATGCGTTTGGGAGTGTGGTGGCTGAGGGCTGTGAAGGGAGGGAAGCGGGTGAGGGTTCTGTCGGCAGGGGTGGAAGAGGCGAGGAAGAAGAGAGTGGGTTGAGAGAAGTGGAAGGGGGAGCAGCTGGCTTGTGCATGGTGGGAGGGGTGAGGAGGAGAGGGGTGCTGCGCCGGGTGCCAGGGCTGGACCTTCTAGACACGGGGGAGCCTCTCTGCGCACCCATCACCCAGGTTAGAACGCATGTTCACTTGTATGCTTGTGCGCTTGTGCAGTTGTACACAGCAGATTGTGCCTGTGTTTGCCTGTACGGTGATCCTGCTGGTTTGGCTTCGTTCCCCCTGTCCTGCTGGGTTTAAGATGTGTGCATTCTTGCTTGCACACATGCATGTAGTTACATACCCACACGCATGCCCTGGTACGATTGTGTTCTGTACATGTGATATCAACGTCTGACTGGGGGAAGGTGTAAATGTGTGTCCATATTGGGTGCGTGCATGTATGGGTACATGCATTTATGCATGTGTACATGTATGGTTCATGCATTTTTGCATGCGTGCATGAATGTTTACCTGGATTTGTGCATGTATGTTAACCTGCATTTGTGCATGCGTGCATGCATGTTTACCTGCATGCATGCACGTGTGTGGCATGTGTGAACGAGCAGGAGGGACCACTGTTGACAGAAGTCACTCTGAGAGAGCAAGAGGAGCTCATCATGAGGACCGGCAGGTGACACTTCACTTCAACCCACCCACTTCTTCGCCACCATATTTTTTCCTCTCCCCCACCTTTCCCCCGTCCCCTGGCACGCCCCTTCCTCTTTCTCACTCCCTCCTTGTTTCACTATCCATCCCTCCCTCCCTCCCTCCCTCCCTCCCTCCCTCCCTCCCTCCCTCCCTCCTGTCCTCACTCCTGAATGTGTGTGCACATACATGCTCATGATCCCCCATAGCCATGCACTGCTTATGCACCATGCATCCCTCCACCCACCGCCCCTCCTCCCTCCAGTGTGGGCACGGGCTGTCAGCAGCTTTTCTCAGACATGCAGGCCTTCAAGGTGCGTGCGGTGCGGTGGGCCATGGATTGATATTGTACGAGCTCCCAGTGTCCTTACACGCATTCAGTAACTCATTGGCCCCTAAGCTAGAGACTGCTTTTTGCTGTGAAAAATAGGAGGGAGACAAAGGACTGTTTCGGACCAGAGCGAAAGTTTGCGCGAGGGACACCGAGTAGGAAAAGCTAAGTGCCTGAACAGAAGACTCGGAGCCGCCACACCATTCGGTTCTCCGTCCGTCCGTCCCTCCCTCCCTCCGTCCTTACAGGCAGCGAACCCTGGGTGCATCTTGGAGGATTTTGTACGATGGTACTCGCCGCCCGACTGGAGCATGCTGCCGCCTACACCGCCCGACAGCGAGGCCGGCGGTGTGGGTGGCGGGGATGGAAGTGACAGGGAGGTTCGAGAAGGGGGAGGGGAGGAGAGAGATAAGGGAGACGGAGGGAAGGGAGGAACGGGAGCAGCAGCAGGAAGTGGAGTGGTGGAGGGGAGACGGAAGCATGGGTATCTGAGCGTGAGGATGACAACACAAGGTGCAGTCAGTGGTGATATGATTGATGCGATGGATTGGGATTGGATGGGACGGGCTGAGATGGGATGAATTGGGATGAGATGTCATGGGGTGGGAGGGACTCGTTGAGATTGAATTGGATGCAATGCAATCTGACGTGTGGATGTGATGTGTGTGGTATGCATGTGGCATCTGCATGGGCTATACATGCATGCATGCATACATACAATGTGCCATGGTGCATAAGGGCCTGCAGCATGAATGCGTGTGTATAAGCCATGGAGACATGATGGTCTCAGTGGTCTCATGCATGTGTGTGTGTGGCAGGTCCTGGGTGTGTGAGCCATGACACCATCGTCTTTGCATGCATCTCAAATGCACGCTCTGGACCGACACCCACCTTGTTGCTGCATGGATGCTCCGTGCTCTACGCTTCATGCTCCATGTTCCACTCTTTATGCAGCATACTGCATGAGCAAACTGCTCTTCCTGATGTGTGACACCTCACAAATCCCTAGTTTCACATGCTCCTTACCTTAGCAACACACTGTTGCTGTGTCATCAGCTCATCTCGTCTTTACCTTCCTTCATCTCTCCCTTTGTCACCACCACCACCGCCCCCCCTCCATCTCCTCTTCCTTCCTGGGTCCTGTCCCCCTTTCCCCACTCGATGCTGCCAGGCAATCTGTGGCAGGAGCTATGGAACGCAGCACGGCCCATCCCTGCTATTCTGCAGCCACCACTCTTTGACGAGGAGCTCGCAGGGTACTCCTTCTTTCTGCCCTGCATGCGTGCATGCATGCGTGCACTTTGCCTGCTCCCACCCATGCACTGCTGCCTCCTGCACCCATGTGCCTCCTGCACACGTGTGCTGGTTCATGGAACTGAACACTTTTCACATGCCATGCCATGCCCCTCAGCAGGAGGGGTCAGCCAGTAGCTCCATGTCGCGACATGCTCCTTCAGTATCCCATTTGCAGGGCCTCACTCTCTGCGTCTGCCTGTGTTTCTCTATCCGCTTTGTGCTTGTGTGCCCGTTTTGTGCTTGTCGGGTGGCAGGGAGAGTACACTGGATGCACTGGAGAACATCGCCCCTTCGGATCTCTTTGAACAGCTTTTCATTGCTGCGGTATGCCCTGCTCATGCTCTTTCAAATGCTGAATGGAGTGATGAACGAACGAGTGAGGCCAACAGCACAGTGGATGGAAATCAAATGCAGCATAGCAAGAACCACCACGACGAGCACTTATTTCACCCCCTCGCCTGCATGCACATCCTCAACTCACCTTCCATCGCGGCGACTTTTGAGTCGACTCAAAAGTCACCTCGCCTGCATGCACATCCTCAACTCACCTTCCATCGCTTCTACCCCTTCCCCACACTTCTCGGTTCTCCTGCCTGTCTGTGTGCCTCGCGGCCTGCCTGTCTGTCCCCTGCGTGCGTGCCATCAGCTCTCAGCAGGGTTCGGCCTGGCGCAAACGGCCCTAGCGGGGTCTAGACGAGAGGCGGTATGTTTCAACGTGCAAGAGTGTGCGTCCTATGTGGCTGCCACATGCACGCGAGGCATGAGCTCTGCTAAGATCGATCGTCTCTGCCAGGTGTGTGTGTGTGTGTGTGTTTAGGGGAGGGGGTGAAGGGGGGGAGGGGGGGGGATGTGTGTGTGAAAAGGGGGGTTTTAGTGGGCGTGGAAGGGATTAGGGAGAGTAGGGCGAAAAGATGTGTCAGCAGTGGAATGGTCTCATGTGCCTTTGATTTTGATGTGGTTATGCACTGGCTTCTCAGGTTCGTGTAGGCTCACCTCGGTATGTGCGGCTCTTTCATATTGAAGAACACTCGTCGCAGTTCCTCCCACTTCCTGTTGCATTCACCAACGTCCTTACTACTCACTTACAACTGAACTGCGTCCATGTGACTTGGTCTCTCCCCGACCCTGCCATGCACCATACCCTCCTGTGTTGTGTGCTGTGTGCTTTGCGCTCACTCTGCTCCCCATGTTCCCCTTGCACTAGGTATACGAGCACATGGAGACAGCTATCCTTTCGTACAACGATCCCTCCTCCCCCTCGCCTTCCCCTGGGTCCACCGCCTCATCGGACGTCACAACACCAGAAGCCCATCCGCACACGGCGGGAATGGCTGCCAGTGCAGGTGCAAGCAGTGGCGGCGATCCTGATGGGGACAGCTTTACCACGCCTCCCCGCCCCCTGTCTCTGCTCTTCTCCCAGTCCCCTGCAAAGACTGGGTCTGGGGGAGGCATGTTGAGTGGATGGTTCCCCTCGAGAAGTGGCCGCTTTGAAATGGGGCGAGAGGATGATGGTGCTGACTGACAGTATGGGCTGGAATAGTGAACTGTATGGGAGGCATATCAATATAGCCACGGAATTCCATTATTTTTATGGAAGAGCATGTATTCAGTGACTTGCCAGATTTCCATAAGCTTGTTTGACCAACTTGATTGTCCCATATTGCAAGTGGAAGTGTATCAATAAGCTTGTTTGTCCCATTCCATATCCAGAAAGAGGCTGGGGACAAATCTGAAATGAGGCAAGAGAATTGTGCAGGCGATGATTGTGTGGCAGGTCAGATTGGTACGCATTCCATATTCCTCCAGCAATTTTGAGGTTGGTGCGAAATGGTCCAAAGGGACGAAAATTGAAACTTGTTCCCGACCGTGCTGTAACCTAGCTTACCGTGCTATTCATAAGTGGGAATCGTGTTTGGAACCCTTGTACAGTTAGCTTTTGCAGCGGTCCCCATGCGGCGCGAACCTGAGAGCCCTCTTTCTCAGGTGCCTCAAGTTCAGGTCTGCTCGGAAATAGAACAGAACTAGCGTGTCTTGGGTTTTCACAACGGGGGTCGCCCCACAAGTTGGTCTAGGGGTGTATCTTCACGAGTCACCCAATGGCTAAGAAACAAAGTTTTCGGGACTCCATCGTTTTTGGGTCTAGCTCGGGTGCGTCTAACAGAAAGTTTGACGGAAATTACATAAGCGTTGTGAAGTAGCATTTGTGGCTATTGCGCAAGTGTCACACAAGCAAGCACATCGCATCAGATTGTATTCCGAAGTTGGGACACCATCGAAGTTCCCCCACCGCAAGAATTTTTGGGGGGTGGATGGTGTCCGTGTGGGGTAGGGCCCCAGTTTGGACATGTGACTAGATTAGGCGTGCGACCAGGTTCGTCAGAATCGCCTGACGGTTATTGGATCAGACTGGTTTCGTGCCCAATCAGAGCGCGAAATCAATAAACGGCCAAATATACTCGAACGACCTGGGAAAAACATTCAGCATGGGCTCATTGGTTGTTGTGGGCTGATTTTGCAAGGTTCGTGATGGTCACGATTGTAAGTTGAAGTCATTGGATTTGATCTCTAAACTCCCCGAACGTCCATGTCGCATTTTGACCTGCGAATCATTCGCACATCAGCTGACCGGCATGTTTCTTGGTGTCCAGAACTCGAACCGCGTGGGGAAAATTTGAAAGGTCACTTTGACATTTCGAGTCGTGTAGAACTTTGGATGGTGTCTCGACTTTGGAATACAGCCTCACACACGCTGTGAAGAGTTTGTGCTACTGAGAAAACTAGGATGCCATCCTTTGGTTTAGGGTCGTAGGAGAACTTTGGATGGTGTCTCGATTTCCGCATTTTACGGCCATCCTTTGGTTTAGGGCCATTTCCGCATTTCCGTAAAATGCGGAAATGCCATTTTGCCATGGGCGGTCCTGGCACCTCGTTCAACCTACGTGTCATTCCCGTCAAAAACTAAGGGAACAACTTCATTTGCAATCTAATTAAGCCAGCGCGGTTCGCGAATGCGATCCCTAACAGTCCGCCTGGAAGAAGCTGATGAGTCGTAATCTGCCCGCGGTCAGAAAAAACATAAACCCCTAATGGGTGGCATGCGATTAGGGGAGCCCCAACCCTAAACACGGGGAGCCCCAATCCTAAACTCGGGCAGCCGCGTCATTCTGCCCGAAAAGATTGCATTTGCAAACCCGCACTGGGAAAATGAGATCGCAGTTCGAATTGTCCGAAAACGGATCCCCCACTTCCTGACCTGACCACCGTGCTCCGTCACCCGGCCCTTGGAATTGGCGGACCCATCATCAGAAATCAGCCCCGAGAATTTCGATTCCGCCACATGCCCAAAATCGTCAACCCGCCCCGAGGAACACCCACCACCCACTTCCCTCGATTCTCCCCCCTGCCAAGCCACAACACAGCATGAGGGGGAAAAAAGCTCCGCCGATATGGCTGGGTTCCTCGAATTCCCGCACTATGTGCACCATGCGCGCGCCATCACCAAGAAGTGCTGAAATTCTCATCATTGTGTAGCTGATGATTTATTGCCGCAGGTTGGTGCACATATAAGCGCATTTGTCGCTGGAGCAAAACCAGCCCCATTGCCGCCTCCTTCTCTGCAGCACCCCCTCATTATCACCTTACAAGCTAAGGGATCGCCGCAGAATTTTACAGAGTCAAGAAGTTCCGCGTTCCTGTCATCACTGGCTCCGCATTTCCGCGAATTCCTACCGAATTTGGACCGAGCGGTAGTCCACGCGCCTGACCTTATATGCTGCCATTGATGCGTGAGAAGCATCTGATATCTCGTAAGAATCTCATCGCGCGCCCATGACAAAAAGATCAAGGTCACTCCGCTGACGTGGAGTGCAGCCGTGTTGCACGCCGCTGACCGCGGCTAGCCACTGCGTGCTGCCACCGTTACCGAGACTTGACCGTTGGTAGCTCCGCACGAGAGGGCCCTGATAGTACACAGGGCACCGATTATCCGTTACTATTTATACCGCCCATGGCATGCCATACGTTTTCATTTTTAACAGCATCTGAGACGTAAGAATCCGCCTTCAGTAACCCACCTACAGCAAGAACCCCCGTTCTCCATAGTCTATCTGAGATCCGCATTCTCTATCACTTAACTAAGATCCGCACAGACAATGGACGTGTTCGAGATCGAGTCGGAGGCCTCTAAGGCGCGCGAGGCCGCCGCAGCCGCGTCCGCTGCGTCAGCGGAAGCCGCCGCGGCTGTGGAGCGCGTGGAGGTGGTGGAGGCGGGGGACGCGACGCCAGCTGCCGGACTGCACGACCACTTCAAGCCGCTGAAGCAGCTTCCCGCGCAGCAGCGCCAACAGGAGCTGCGCAAGGACATCCACTTCGTGAGTGCGGGGCACTGGAGGCATGGGGAAGGGGAGGGGGGAAGTAGGGGGAGAGGGGTGCAGCGCCAACAGGAGCTGCACAAGGACATTCACTTCGTGAGTGCGGGCAAGGGGGCTGGGGGAGGAAGAGGGGGGAAAATGGGAATAAGTGGGGGCGGACGCGGATGTTTGTTGTGGAAGAAGTAGGGGTCGCGGAAGATTTGCGGGATCATGTCGAGATTCAAGGTTAGGATGAGGGGGAACGGTCAGGAACTTGAAATGTTCAGAACCTGGTTAGAATGAAGTAGGGTGCTGGAAGGCGGACAGCCGGAGCGTTGCTAGTGGCGAGCACAAGGCGTTGTCGTCGTGCTGGGTAACCCACCCACTCGTAACCCGCCGGTATTTCTCGCTGTTGATTTCTTGGAGTCTCGCGGTGCGCCGTTTTATCAGCTTGTTGATTCCAATGCGAAGTCCGGATGGATCTGGCTTCGAATACCGCCGCGCAATGCCTCCGCCGATTGCTGAACTGAAAGAAAAGAAGCTGGCGGACACGCAGGGATCGGGAGATGGCGGATCAACGAGCAGATGTGAGCTTCGATAGTAGAACTCGACAGGAGGTCGCGGAGGCCGCGAGTAGCGGGAGTACGCGGGAAGGGGAAGGGTATCGCGCTCAGGGGGGATCGCTTGGAGTAGTTTTTAGAGAGCTGAGCGAAGGGCACACGCGGGCGGAGAGCGGGAGTGGCGGAGTGATTGTGTGGGGGACGCCATTGAACCATTCATCCCATGAATGCGTGTGTGCGAGCGAGCGTGCGTTTGTTGGCGTTTGGGTGTGCGGACGCGGATGGGCACATATGTTTGATTTCATGCGCGCAACCCTCCCACACCCATCCCCACACGTGCGCGTGTGTGTTTCTGTGTGTGTGTGTGTGCATGTGGCGTACAGGTGGAGCACACATGGCCGGTGCATCAACTCTGCTTGCATTTCCGCACCAACGCCACCAAGGTACGCTCCTCCTCGCCTATCCATGCCATACCATGCCATGCAGTCCAAACGAAAAGCTTACATCAACCGGGAAAGCACGAAACAGAGCGCGCACAACGACCAGCCCTTCCCCCATACCACCACCACGTCCACGTTCACGAGTCACCCATCATCTGAACGCTTCCCTTGCGCGTTCCTTGCGCGTCCCTTGCGCGTTCCTTGCGCGTCCTTTGCGCGTCCCTTGCGCGTCCCTTGCGCGTCCCTTGCGCGTCCCTTGCGCGTTCCTTGCGCGTCCGTTGCGCGTCCATTGCGCGGACGCTCCTGACATTTCCGCACTCATAGCGTTCCGCCTTCATTCACCCCATCAACGCTCAGCTCTCAGCAACCAATCCCCTTTTCTTGCTGCCCCACAACCCTCTTCACACCTTCCGCACCCCTGCTCCACTCCCTCCCTACCTCCCTCCCACTCTCTCCACCAACTCTCATCTCCCTCTCCCTTTCCTCCCCCCCTCGCCCTCCCGCGCGCCTCACCCGCGCTTCTACACCACGGCGCTTCCCCCCCTCCGCAGGGCCTAACGGACACGCAGGTGCAGCGGAACCGCACGCGGTACGGGGAGAACAAGCTGACGCCGGGGTACGTGACGCCGTGGTGGCTCAAGTACCTGCAGCAATACACCAACTTCTTCTCGCTGCTCCTCATCGCCGCCGCCGCGCTCTGCTTCATCGCCTACGTCATCGACGAGAATGACGTCAAGGAAAACGTACGTACGCGCTCGCGCTCGCGCTCTCGCGTCCGCGCGCGCGCGCTCTCGCTCACTGCCACCCGCCCGCCCGCACCCCTCCCACCCCTCCCTTCCCCCCCACCCCTCCCCAAAACATCCCTCTTTTGCTCTTCCTTCTGCTGCTGCTGCTCCTCCTCTTTCCGTTTTTCCGTCTCGTCGTTTCCTCCTCCCCCTCCTCATCGCTGTCTCCGTTCTCTCGTTCCTCCTCCTCTCCACCCGTGTTGAATCCGCTTCTCCCTTGAACCTCCTTCGCACGCACCTCCCAACCCCTCCTCCCCATTCCTCCCCTCCCCTTTCCCCTCCCCTTCCCCTCCTCTTCCTCCTCCCCATCCCATTCCCCCCCGGCAGCTATACCTGGGCATAGTTCTCCTGGTGGTGGTGGTGGTGACGGCGACGTTCACGTTCATGCAGGAGCACAAGAGCGCGCACATCATGGAGGGCTTCCGCGCGCTCATCCCCGCCAACTGCCACGTCATCCGCAACGGCGAGTCCATGATGATCGACGCGACGGCGCTCGTGCCCGGCGACCTCGTGGAGCTGAACGACGGGGACAAGGTCCCCGCGGATATCCGCATCATCTCCGCCAGCGACCTCACTGTGAGTAGATTCAGGGGGAGAGGGGGAGGGAGGGGGGCGGGAAGCGAGAAGAGGGGAGGGATGGGGAAGGGGGGGGGTGGGGGGTCGAGTGAGGGAGGGAGTGTTGCGGCAGGGAGGGGTTGGGGGCGAAGTGTTTCAGTGGGCTCGATGGCAGTGGGATGCATGCACTGTTGCATTGCACTATTGCGTTTTAGTATATCGCGCGCACTGCACTATTGCGTTTTAGTATATCGCGCGCACTGCACTGTTGCGTTTTAGTATACCGCGCGCACTGCACTATTGCGTTGCGTGCACTCAAGCCACGTGCGCACACCACTGAGGAGAAAAAAAAAAACCGTTGTGGCGCTCCTCCTCAGTCACCCAGCTCGTCAAGAGTGCCTAAACATTGTCACACTCTTCTTCCCCGCGTACCCCTCCCTCCCCACCCTCTCCCCACCCTCTCCCCACCCTCTCCCCACCCTCGCTCCCACGCCTCCCCCCTCTCCCGCTCACCCCCTCCCTCCCTCCCTCCCTCCCTCTCTCCCTCCCTCCCTCCCTGCGCTCCCCAGGTGGACAACAGTGCGCTGACGGGAGAGAGCGAGGCGGTGGAGCGGGGGCCGCGGCTGGAGAAGGACGAGAGCGGCGAGCAGATCTGGCAGCCGCTGGAGGCCGCCAACATCGCCTTCTACGGCACCATCGTGTGCAGCGGCACTGCCCGCGGGGTGGTCATCGGCACCGGGGACAACACCGCCATGGGGCAGATTGCAGGTGCGGCACGAGAAAGGTTGGTGGCAGGGGAACGATGGGGAGGTGAAGGGGGAGGGGAGGGAGAAGGGAATCGAGGGTGAGATTTAAATGCGGGGAAAGGTATGGAGAAGAAGAGTGGGGGCGTGGGGGTTGTAGAAGAAAAGGCGGTATGTGGTAAGGAAAGGATGAGGACGCGGCAGGGGGAGGAGGGGGAGGTGGGTGGGCAAGAAGGAAGGGGCGTAGTAAGGGAGGTGAAAGTCTAGGCGGAGGAGGAACAGGAGGGACGGGCAGGCAGAGGGAGCGGCGCCACCATGCATACATACAAACCACAACGATGCTAGAGCTCAAGGAATGTGGTGTGAAACACAGACACAACCGCCATCTGCTTCTCCATCAACCCCCCTCGTCCTTCCCTTTCCCCCAACCGCCTCTCCCCCCCTCCCCGCCCCCCCCCACAATTATCTCCCCGTGATTGCCTTGCCTCACTCCCCCCACCAGGCCTGGCGGTGCTGACAGAGAAGAACGAGACTCCGCTCTCAATCGAGCTGGCGCAGTTTGTGAAGATGATTGGGCTGCTGGCCGTCATCATGGGGCTCGTCTTCTTCTCATCAAAGTCAACTCAACAATAACCCTTCTTTCTTTCCCCTCCGCCCCCACCTCACTTCCCCCCCCCCACGCCCCCTTTCCCCCACCCCCTCCGGTCGCCTCCCCCCCCCAACGTCTCCTCCCCTGGTGTCCCCTCCCCCCTTCTTCCACCAGGCCTGGCGGTGCTGACAGAGAACAACGAGACGCCGCTCTCCATAGAGCTAGCACAGTTTGTGAAGATGATTGGGCTACTCGCCGTCATCATGGGGCTCGTCTTCTTCGCCATCGGCCTCTCCCTGGGCGACCCCTTCATCCAGACCGTTGTCTTTGGCATCGGAGTCATCGTTGCCAACGTGCCCGAGGGGCTGCTGGCGGCTGTGACTGTGTCTCTGGCGCTTGCTGCCAAGCGCATGCACAGAAGGAACGTGTTGGTGAAGAACCTGCAGAGCGTGGAGACGCTCGGGTCGTGCACCACGATTGCGTCGGACAAGACGGGGACGCTCACGCAGAACCGCATGACCGTCCGTACGTGCTTGCAGGGTGGGGGGGAGGGGGGGGAAGACGGGGGGATGAGGGAGGGGAGAGGGTGAGAGAGGGGAGATTGGAGGGGGAGAAGGGGGGGTGGAGAATATGGGAAGGGGATGGGATGGGGATGGTCGTTCAACCACCAGAATGGTTAACCGTTTGTACATACATTTTACAGACCGCCTTGTGCTCCCCTCTTCTTCCCTTCCCCCAACCCCCCCGTTCCCCCAACCTCCCCTTTTCCCCAACCCCTTCCCCCCCATTACAGAGCACTGCTGGTACGACCTGCGGGTGTTTGAGTGTCCGGCGGTGCACAACCGAGTGGAGTGGGAGGCGTTCATGAAGAGCCCTGCAGCATCTCTCGCGTACGAGCCGCAGTCCATCACCTTCCAGAAGCTGCAGCTCATCTGCACGCTCTGCAACAACGCCAACTTCCTCTCCACACGTATGGCCCCGCCCCCCCAACCCCGTCACCCCGGAGCCTGCCCCTGCCCTTCTCCTGGCCTTCTCCTGCCCTTCCCCTGCCCTTCTCCTGCCCTTCTCCTGCCCTTCTCCTGCCCTTCCCCTGCCCTTCCCCTGCCCTGCCCCTGCCCCACCACCCACCCACCCACCCATTCACCCACCCGCCCGCCCGCCCGCCTGCCCGCCCGCCCATTTGCCTACCCACCCGGCCCCCATTTTGCCCGCCTGAAGTCTCCTTCTCCCTGCTCACCTCCTCTGCCCGCTCTGCAACAACACTCTCCGCTTGTTCCCCCCTCCCCCCACCCGCACCCGCACCCACACCTGCACCCCCACCGGCAAACCCACCCCATCCCCCGCGGGCACCCCCACTCCCCACCGGCACCCGCCCCCCACCCCAGCTCCCACAGAGGGCGAGAACATGGCGATAGAGATGCAATGGGCGTTAAGACCTCTCAAATGCCCCGCAACCCCACTCCCTCCGCCACCCGCAATTCCAAACTCAAACCCAAACTCAAACCCAAACTCAAACCCAAACTCCAACCACCAGAGGGCGAGGACATGGCGATCGAGATGCGGCGGGCGGACTTTGACCTGCTGGGCGCGGCGTGCACACTCTGCAACAACGCTAATATCCTCTCCTCGTGTACCGCCGCCCTAAACCCACCCCCACTCTCCCAACCTGCGCCTGCCCCCCTCCACCCTCACCACCACCAGAGGGCGAGGACATGGCGATCGAGATGCGGCGCGCGGACTTTGACCTGCTGGGCGCGGCGTGCAGCGGGGACGCGTCGGAGCAGGGGCTGCTCAAGTTTGTGGAGCCGCTGCGCTCCGCGCGCGAGGTGCGAGACCTCTACGCCAAGCTCTTCGAGATCAAGTTCTCCTCCACCAACAAGTGGCAGCTCTCCATCCATGTGTACGTGCTGGGGGGGGAGAAGGGGGTGGAGGGATGGGGATAGTGGGGAGGAGGGGGGGGGGGGGGGGGAGATGGGAGGGGAAAGAGGGAAGGGGAGGGGAAAGGGGAGGGATGTTTTGGCAGGGAGGAGAGTGTGAGATAGGAAGGTAAGAGGGACCTCTACGCCAAGCTCTTCGAAAACAAAGTTCTCCTCCACTAACGAGTGGCATCTCTCCATTCGTGTGTATGGCTCCGGGGGGGTGAAGGAGGGTGGCCGAGTTGGGGGAAAGGAACTTGGGGAATGACAATGACGGTGAGGGGAAGGGAGGGGTTTTGAGACGTCTCAAAACATCTCTTTTATCACAATGACGGTGAGGGGAAGGGAGGGGGAAAACGGGAAAGTTGCTGTTTCGCGCCGTCTCCTCTTGAAAATCACACTCATTTTATGGCTGAAACCTCGTGCTGTGCTGCAACCCCGCTCCATTCTCCAACTACCAAAGTATCCCCTCTCCACATCTCCACTGACCACCCATTCCCTGTTCCGTTCTCTCCCCCTCCAACTCCTCCCCCCCTCTCTCTTCCCCCAACCCTTCCCCCCCCCCCCCCCCACAGGCAATCGGCGCAAGGCCGCCTTCCCCCAGTTCTAGTAATGAAGGGCGCACCGGAGCGGGTGCTGGCGCGGTGCGCGTACATAATGGTGAACGGGCAGGTGTTTGACCTGAACAGCGAGAGCCGCAAGTACTTCCAGGACGCCGTAGAGCAGCTCGGGGGGTACGGCGAGCGCGTGCTCGGCATGGCCTTCCGTGACCTCGATGGCTTCGCCAATGACTTCATGGTGCGTAGCGGAGGGTGGTTATGGGAGGGGAGGGAGGGGAGGCGAGGGGAGGGGAGGGGGAAGGAATTGGTTTGGTTGTGGTGGGAGTGGGTGGGTAGGGGAGATGGGTTTTTGGTGCGAGGGCGGAAGGGAAGAGGGGGGTTATGGGGTAAGGCTTTATTAGTGCAGCTCGGCGGGTATGGCGAGAGCGTGCTCGGCATGGCCTTCTGTGACCTCGATGGCTTCGCCAATGACTTTATGGTGCGAGGATGGGGCTGCAGAGGGGAGGGGAGGACGGGAGGAAGGGGAGGGGTTTGTTTTTTTGTGAGGGGGAGATGGCCTCTTGTTGATGGTGAGGGGGAGGGGTGGGGAAGGGCATGAGCTTTCAGTTTCCAGCCAGACTGGCCTAACTATAAAACTCGCTCTTTGTTCAACCTGCATGGTTACCCATCGCCTCAACCCCCCCTCCTTCCTCCTCCCCCCTTCCTCCGTTCCTTTCCCCCCTCCCATCCCTCCCCCACACTCCCCTTCCCCATTCTCCACCCATGCCATCCCCACTGCCACCCGCCCCTTCCCCTCCCCATGTGGACAACAGTTCACGAACAAGCCCGAGCCCAACTTCCCGACGGACGGGCTGACGTTTGTGGGCATGGTGGGCATGCTAGACCCCCCGCGCGAGGGCGTGCCCGAGGCCGTGGCGCAGTGCCGCCGCGCCAAGGTGCGCGTCATCATGGTCACGGGCGACCACCCCATCACCGCCAAGGCCATCGCTCTCAAGGTGAGAAGGGGAGAGAGAAGGGTGGGGGAAGGGGGAAGAGGAGGGGGTGTTGAGGGGAAGGAGGAACGCAGGAATGTGAGGTCTTAGGGGTAGTCACTCGTGGGGAAGAGGCCAAGGTGGAGGTGATGATGGTCAGGAGCGACCACCCCATCAATGCCAAGGCCATTGTTTTTTAGTTGAGGGAGAGAGGGAAGGAGAGATAGGGAGGGGGAGCGGGAGGAAATTGGGAGGGGAGTGAAGGTGGAGGAGGGAGAGGGGGGGGGGGGGGGGAAGGGAGGGGAGGCGGAACGCATTCAATAGTGTGGGCACGTGCAGGTGGCAAGGGTTTGAGAAGGCAGCGAGAGGCCATGGACGAGAGGGCATGGGCGAGACGGCATGGGTGAGAGGGCATGGGCGAGGGGGCATAGACAGCACTTTGAGAAGGCACCTGCATGTGTGACTGATGATGTGTGTGTTCATGTGCATGTGTGCTTGTGTGTATGTATGTATGTATGTATGTATGTATGTATGTATGTATGTATGTATGTATGTATGTATGTATGTATGTATGTATGTATGTATGTATGTATGTATGTATGTATGTATGTATGTATGTATGTATGTATGTATGTATGTATGTATGTATGTATGTATGTATGTATGCATACGTGTGAGAGTGCAGGTGGGCATCATGGACCAGGCGAAGGTGGACGATGGCACTGCATGTGTGGTGACGGGAGATGACATTCGCCAGTGGGGCGACCTCACTCCCCACGATGAGCAGCTCAAGTGGGACGAGGCTCTCTCACACGAGCAGGTATGCATGCTATGCTTGCATGTGGACGTACTTATATGCGTGTGCTCCTTGCAGCAATGCTTGGGTCGCCTTTGCTCAACTTCTGAGTCAACTCAAGAGTCATCTCACGCTCTTGCACGGTGTGCATGCACGCGTTCTTGGCAGCTGTATCTGAGTCGCTGTTGGGAGCTCGTACAGTGCATGCTTGCTTCCTTCCTTGCACTGCATCCCCACTCGTGTTCACTCTCTCCCTCCCTCACTCTCACTCTCCCCTCTTTCTCACCTGCAGCCCTTCTTCCCTCACTCGCCTCCTTCCCTCCCCCACTCTCTTCCAACCCATGTACCAGTTGGTGTTTGCGCGTGTGTCCCCGGCGCACAAGCTGCTGATAGTGGAGCACTGTCAGCGGCGGGGGGAGATTGTTGCCGTCACGGGGGACGGGGTCAACGACGCTCCCGCACTCAAGAAGGGCGACATTGGCATCGCCATGGGCATTGCCGGGTATGTGTGCATTCAGCTGTGGCCGTTAAACCGTATGCCATTCTGTTTTTGGGCTTGGCACAGCGGCGGGGTGTGTTGATGTTTATCCCTCTCGTGCTTCACTTTCTCTCATGCCGTTGTTTCCCCATAACCCTGTCCTGTTTCCTTCCCCCCTTCCGCCCCCGCTAACCCCTCACACAGCAAGGGCATGGGAAGGAGGCCACAGACATGATCCTCATCTTCCCCAAACTCCTCACAGCCCCCTCTTTATCTCCCCCGCCCAGCAAGGTCGTGTCCACAGAAGCCAACTCAACTTCCTTCACCTGATAGACGCAAATTCAACCTCTTTCTCCTCTACCTCACCCCCATTTCCCCCCCCTCCCCCTCTCCCTCCCTCCCTCCCCCCCTCCCTCCCTCCCTCCCTCCCTCCCCCCATCCCTCCCTCCCTCCCCCCACAACGCCCCCCGCCCAGCAAGGACGTGTCAAAGGAGGCGGCGGACATGATCCTCATGGACGACAACTTTGCGTCCATAGTGAACGGAGTGGAGGAGGGGCGGCTCATCTTTGACAACCTGAAGAAGACCATCTGCTACGCGCTCACCGTCAACATCCCTGAGCTCGTGCCCTACCTCGTCAACGTGCTGGGCGGCGTGCCGCTGGCGCTCTCCACCGTGCTCATGCTTGCTATCTGCCTTGGGACTGACATGCTGCCGGCTATCTCGCTGGCTTATGAGGAGAAGGTGAGTGTGGTGGGGGGGGGAGCGAGGGACAGGGAAAGAGGATGGGAGTTGGCTGAGAGAGAAGTACGTGGGGAGGTGGTGGGGGGTAGAGGGAGGGGAGGGGAGGAGAGGGAGCTTTTAGGACACGGACATGCTTCCTCCTTTGGGACGTCTATCCCCCCTCCACTTCCCACACCCCGTAATGTCGCCCACCTCCCCCATCCCACCTACCATCCATTCACCTCCCCCTCCCCCTCCACCCCCCTTTTCCACCCTCCCAGGAGTCGGGCATAATGGAGGGCTTACCACGTAACGCGCGCAAGAACCACCTGGTGGTGCTGGAAGCTCTTTGAGACGTCTCTAAAATCCCCTCCTCCCCGTACCTATCTACCCCACCCCTCGCCCACCCCCCCCCACCAGGAGTCGGGCATAATGGAGCGGCCGCCACGTAATGCGCGCAAGGACCACCTGGTGAGCTGGAAGCTCTTTGAGACGCCTAAAGAATCTACTCCTCCCCTCCCCACCTGCACCAGGAGTCGGACATAATGGAGCGGCCGCCACGCAACGCGCGCAAGGACCACCTGGTGAGCTGGAAGCTCATCAGCCACGCGTACCTGCAGATCGGCGTCGTGCAGACGCTTGCCGGCTTCCTCGCCTACCTCGCTGTCTTCAACGACTATGGCTACCCGCCCCACGTCAGTTCCATCCCTGGGCTGGGCAGGGGAGGTGCATGGGGGGGAGGGGGGCATGTGAGGTCGGGTGCATTTGAGGGGGGTGGCATCGAGACTGCTCTCTTTTGCACACGCTCGCCGGCTTCCTCACCTACCTCGCTGTCTTCAACGACTATGGCTACCTGCCCCACGTCAGTACCACGGGCAGGGGGAGGTGTATGTGGAAGAGGGTGTGCATGCACAGGGGGATGCATCTGAACGAGAATGTTCATGAAAGCCGAGGGGGTGCATGTGAGTGACTGTGGTGTTGTCTTTTTCGTTTCCCTCTTCTCTCATTTCTTACTCGCCTCACCCTCCCTCCTCCCCTCTCTCCCCCCCCCCCCACCTCCCCCTCCATTCCCTCCTCCCTTTTCCATTCCCTCCTCCCTTCTCTTTTCTTTTCTGCCTTCTCTATTCCCTTCTGCCTTTTCTATTCCCTCCTCCCTTCTCCATTCCCTTCTCCCTTCTCTATTCCCTCCTCCCTTCTCTATCCCACCCTCCCTCCTCTATCCCCTCCTCCCTTCTCTCCAGGTGCTACCATCAATAGGTTCAACAGCGACCTCCTCCATCATCTCCTCCATCATCTCCTCCATCATCTCCTCCATCATCTGCTCGCTCAACAGCGACCTCGAGCCCGCATTCTTCTCTCATTCTTTACTAACCTCACACTCTCTCCTCCCCTCTCTTCCTCCCCCCCACCCTCCCCCCTCCAGGTGCTGCCATCCATAGGCTCAGACTTCGCCACCTCCTCCATCATCTGCTCGCTCAACAGCGACCTCGAGCCCGACCGCTGCGGGTACGGCTGTGCCTCCCCAGACTACACAGCCATCCCCACGCCCGCCAACTCGCCCTCCTCTGTCGCCTACTGCCTCTACGGCTGCCCGGCGCCTGCGCCTGGGACTGTCGTGGCGGACCCCTTCAGTGAATTCAGCCTGGGTGGGTTCCGTGGGCAGCAGTACTGCAACCTCACGTGCTACTCGCCGGCTTCACAGTTTGTGGGAGGGACTATTCCCTCGCAGTGCGCTTCTGCTGATACCACCCTGGTGCGTGCGTATCTGCTGGGGAGGGGGGTTGAAGGGGAAGAGGGGGGGGGTGGTGGGGTAGGGAGGTTTGGGGAGGTGGATGGGCGGGTCGATGGGTGGTGGCTCCATACCATTCATTTCTGAGTCAACTCAAAAGTCAGCTTGGTGGTGGCTCCATACCATTCATTTCTGCTTTGCTGCTTGGTGCGCACAGTCGCTAAACAGCTTACTAAACAGCTTAACAGCTTCCCAACCTTTTGTGGCTGACTTCAAACTCTCTCCTTGCCACTCTCCCCTGGTCCTTCCATCGCTCTCATCTTCCCCGCACTTTCTAACCCCTGCTCCCACACTTTGCCCGCACTTTGCACTTTACGCAGTATGGCTTCCCCAACCGAAAGTCCCTGGACCCACCGGCTGGGCCAGCGGGCGGGATATACTGGTGGGGGGGACGGTCCATGTCCCAGGCAAACCCCGAGTACCAGAGGCAGGTGCTGCTGTATGCGCAGTCGGCCTACTTTGTTGCCATCATCGTCACCCAGTGGGCCAACCTCATCGTCTGCAAGACCCGCCGCCTCTCCGTCTTCCAACAGGTCAGTAGATGACCCCCCCAGACTTTTTGCTGCTGCCACTGCCACCGCCACCGCCACCGCCACCGCCACCGCCACCGCCACCGCCACCGCCACCGCCACCACCTCCGCCACCGCCACCACCACCGCCACCGCCACCACCTCCTCCACTGGAGCCGCCAGCCACCGCTCTCAGGATATCATCCCCAGACTGCATTTTTTCAAACCGCACTCTCAAGGCGACACCCATTCTCATTCTCAAGCCTCCTCATCTACGCTCCGCAACCACCCCACCAGGGCATGTGGAACTGGGTGCTCAACTTCTCGCTGCTGTTTGAAACGGGCATAGCAGCAGCGCTGCTGTACGTGACTTGAGGCGAAGACCAACCCCACACCCTCCCCCCCCCACCCCCACACCAGGGCATGTGGAACTGGGTGCTCAACTTCTCGCTGCTGTTTGAAACGGGCATAGCAGCGGCGCTGCTGTATGTGCCGTTCCTGCAGGAGGTGTTTTCAGTGCGCCCCATCAGCATCGTCTACTGGTTCATCGGCATCCCCTTTGCCCTCACCATCCTCTTCCTCGGGGAGATTCGCAAGCTCTTCATCCGCAGGTTCCCAGGCAAGTCCTCCTCCCCTCCTCCCCTCCCTTCCTCTCCCCCTTGTCTCCTCTAAGCCTCTCCTCCTCTCCTTCCCTCTCCTCTCCTTTCCTCTCCTCCTCTCCTTCCCTCTCCTCTCCTTCCCTCTCCTCCTTTCCTCGTCTAGCTGCTTTTCTGTCGGTACGTTGAAGCCTCCGTCTTCCGTTTTTTGCCTGTCTTAATTCCTCAATCCAGGTGGATGGATGGACCGCTGGACCGCCTGGTAGAGTCACGCACTCTCCAACTTATCGTGCAGCTGCCGCCGCTGGGCTTCGCGATTCGTGACATGGCTCGTGGAGCACACTCCCCGTGCTTCTTGTTGCAGCAGTAGCTGTGGGTGCAGATGCAGGTGCAGCGGCAGGGTCTGCTCTGAAGCAAGTCACGCTATTCGCTCCACCTGTTCCTTGTTGCAACTCGCCTTGTTGCTTCTCCTCCATGTCTCTATTCTCTGCATCACCTTTTTTGTGTGACCATGCACCATGTTCTCCTCTCAGAAGTTGTGGATCTTCATCACAGTCAGCTAGGATTTATGGTGGCTATGTGTTGCAACCATCATGCCCTAATAGTTAGCTGGTGTCGCTTAGATGTGTGTGCAATTAATTCAGCAGCTCAAGCTGCAAGTTCTAGAGCACTTGAAGAGTTTATTTATATCATCCTGTATTGATCGTGACCATTGGTTCACTATAGAGTGACTTTATGTCCGCTCCTTGACGCATACACGTCCTCGACAAAAATTTGGGCATCTGCAATCTCGACCGACCGCCAAATTTCGAACCAATCTGCACCACACAACACCCCCTGTCGCACTACCTTACACTGACACGACACAATCTATCTCCAGCCTGACTCCAAATGCGTGCCATCCCATCCGCCGTGTTCCGTTATTGTCTCCGTCCGCCCTTCCGACTCCCCCGTTTGTGTCCGTCTGCTTCCCTACCATCCGTCTCTTCATTGCCGG